GAGGAAGGGTTCCTGGGCTTTCCTGAATTGAGGACTAAGAGAGAAGTTTTGTATCCCAAGGGGCCCCAGTGACAGTCAAAGGAAAGTGGCTTCCACTGCCCAAGTCACCCCAAGAAGGCGCCCCAATATAACACACTGCAGGCATGCAGGCTTGGATATGAACACCCAAACAGACAGAACAGCTGGACTGCAAAGCTGACACGCCGTCCCACCTGGGGACTGCACCTCCGGGCATCCGCCCATCCAGGTGGGGCTGTGAATTCTGATTAGAACTGGATAAAACCAGTTGCTGTTGAATGGCCTGCAACTCATGGCGACCTATGTGTGCAAGAAATGGTTTTAATTCTGGAATCTAGATTTCTGGCTCTTATGGAGGTTGGGGTAACCCTCTCAGACCATTGCCCTTAGATGCGTTTTGAAACTTGAGCCTTGAAGAAAATAGTCTCCTAAAAGTCACCTTTCAGTCAAACAATGGTCTAGATAAACTAGTAAAAACTGGTTTGTCTTAGGCACTGGGGTCTTTTGAAGAATTATCTGTGTGCACTCAGTTTCAAGGAACAGAAGCTCCAAGGTCAGACTAGAAGCTGTGTTTCAGGGTAAATTGTTATTATGTAAACACTGCTCTGGTTCTGTTTCCATGGCAACCCCGATACAACGTGGTATAATTTTGGATGTTCCTTTCATCTTTGAAACATTTTTTTAGCTGCTCCCTGGGAGAAAGATGTGGCAGTTAGCTTCCATAAAGATACACCCTTGGAAACCCCATTGGGCAGTTCTACTCTGTCCTATAGTCGCTATGAGACTCAATGGCAATGGGTTCAGTTTGGGTTTGGTCAAAATGTTACCCTGATTTACAAATTCTATATTAGATAAACGTCAATTGATTTCTGTTGTTGGCTTAATATGATTTTTGTTTTAATTTATGTCAGAGTAGTACTGTACTCCAAAGGATCGGAAGTAGATCATCAGGCCTTTCTTCCGAGGATCCTCTGGGTGGATTCGAACCACCAACCTTTTGGTTAGTTGTCAAGTGCTTAACCATCTGCACCCCCCAGAGGCTCCATTAGAACTGAATAGTGAGGGGTAAACAGGAAATGAACAAACCCCGAGGGCACCTTTCACAAAGTGTGCACGAAGCACACCTACACTTACTTTTTTTTGGAGAAAAAAGATGAAAGATTACATCCTTCTCTGGAATCATGGCCTCAGGCAGTCACCATAATGAGGCGAATGTGCCTATTCATAGGTTTTCCACATACCTTAATATCTGTCATTCTTTTACTTGAATCAGAGGTCTTGAGTGGGCATGAGTTAGCACATTGTTAGCTGGATGGGGGCTGCCAGGACTGAAGGCCCTCACCCCCAAAGGGGCCATTCCCTCCCCATCCGGAGCATGCAATGGCTGGGACTGCCCACTTGGACTGACCACCCCAGGGCTGTGCTCTTCCCAAATTCCAATTTCTCCCTCTTGTCCCATTCAACCCCGCAGCCCCTGTCCCCAGCAGTCAGGGCACCCAGCCCAAGCCCACAGGTGCACCTGACCCAGCCTGAACCAGGCAGGTAGATCCTGCTCTCCCTCACACAGACGCTCCAGCCTGGGTCACTGTGACTCTGTGCGTGTAATGGAGACAGCACAGAATGTTCCAGCCTTGGGTATTTTGTCACCGAGGCTCTTTAATGTCACTGCATCCCGCAGGAGACACCGTAATGCCGTTTTAATTATTTTTCTCCCCTGCTGGGAAACCACCTCCATCAAAATAGTTCTTCCGAGCCCACCCCCAGCCTGGCAGCATCCGGAGCCCAGAGAGGATATTTAACTGTTTTCTAAAACTTTAGCATCGGCATACAACTTAATATTAACAAGGAGCTCATCAGCTCTGATCTGCATCAGGAAGGGGAAAATCAAAGAGATTAGAAAGGCCCATCTCACTGCTGCGAGTGATTATGTGGGAAGGGCTCCAGGAAGCCAGCAGGCTCCCAGGGGTCGGAGGGGACGGCAGGAGCCCCAACATGAGCAGGGAAGGGGATGCCGTTGAGACGTGCGAAGGGCAGGACTGCCCGAGACCCAGGACCCAGCCCAGAAAACCTCACCAGTGGGTCCCCATTTCTCTCTAGATCCCAAGTGTGCGAGGGGGTGACCAGCACATAGGAGTGTCAGCATTTCCTTTCACAGGGACCCCCCCCCCCCGAGGGGAGACCCCACCAGGGCTGGGCAAGCTGCAGCTCTGGGATGAGTGAGATGAACATTCTACTTCCTCTCTGTTATGGATTGAATTGTGCCCCCCCATACGTGCTGGAATCCTACCCCTTATATATCTGTGGAAGGAGACCCTGGGTGGCGCAAACAGTTAAGCGCTCAACTACTAGCCAAAAGGTTGGTGATTCAAACCCACCCAGAGGCACCTCAGAAGACAGGCCTGGTGATCTGCGTGCGAAAGGTCACAGCCTTGAAAACCCTACAGAGCAGTTCCACTCTGCACACAAGGGGGCTCCAGGAGTCGGAATCCACTGTAGGGCAACCAACAACCTACCTTTGGATGTAACTCCATTTGGGACCAAGGCCTTCCTTGTTATGTTAATGCGGCCAGGTCACTGTAGGGCGAGTTTTAAACCTACTCACTTTTGAGATGTAAAAAGAGCTGATTAGGTACTGGGCAAAAGCCAGCACAGATGGGGGAAGGATAGACGCCAGGTGGAGATCTCCAAGGAATCAAGGAACGTTGGTCTACGGAGGCTGAAAGGACACTTCCCTCAGAGCCCACAGAGACAGAGTCTTCCCCTACAGTCGTGACCTGAATTCAGAATTCTAGTCTCCTAAACAACGTATTCATGGGGCAAATCTGCTGCAAAAGACCTCTTTAAAGCAAAGATGTCGTTTTAAGGACTAAGGAGTGCCTGACCCAAGCCATGGTATTTTCAATCTCCTCATATGCATGCAAAAGCTGGACAATGAATGAGGAAGACCAAAGAAGAACCGATGTCTTTGAATTGCGGTGTTGGTGAAGAATATTGAATATACCATGGACTGCCAGAAGAACGAACCGATCTGTCTTGGAAGAAGTACAGCCAGAATGCTCCTTGGAAGTGAGGATGGTGAGACTTCGTCTCATGTACTTAGGACATGTTATCAGGAGGGATCAGTCCCTGGAGAAGGACATCATGCTTGGTAAGTTAGAGGGTCAGCAAAAAAGAGGAAGACCCTCAATGAGATGGATTGACACGGTGGCTGCAACAAGGGGCTCAAACAGCAACGATTGTGAGGATGGCGCAGGACCGGGCGGTGTTTCGTTCGGCTGTGTGCAGGCTCACTGAGTCGGAATCAACTCGATGGTACCTAATAACAACAATAAGAAACTGCAAGACGATAAATGTCTGTTTTTTAAAACCACCCACTTGTGGTGCTTCTGTTACAGCAACAGGAAGAAAGTATAAGACACCTCCTTCCACTTTAAAAAAGTTTCTAAAGATGCACCCATTCCCCAGAAGGGCCTTCGAGATGAAGGCAGGCATCAGATCTAAGCAGTCTCAAACAGCACATTGAAGGGAATCCCTGGGTAGTGCAAAGGGTTAAGTGCTTGACTACACGCTGAAAGCTTGGCGATTTGAACCCACCCAGAGGTGCCTCAGAAGACAGGCCTGGCGATGTGCTTCGGAAAGCCCACAGCCCTGAAAACCTTATGCAGTGGTGTTGCTCTGCACACACAAGGTTGCCACGAGTTGGAATCTACTTGACAGCAACCACCAACGATAGGAAACCCAACAGCCTATTTAGAGCCGGCTCTGCATCCAGTCCCCTCAGCCATGGCAAGAGATTAAGAGAGATGGTGCCCGGCTACCACCACTGAGTGCTCTGACAGGGATCACAACAGAGGGTTCTGGACAGAGCTGGAGAAGGATGTAGAACATAATTCTAACTCACAAAAAAAGACCAGATTGACTGGCCTAAAGGAGACTGGAGAAACCCCGAGAGTACGGCCCCCAGACACCCTTTGGGCTCAGTGGTGAAGTCACTTCCGAGGTTCACCGTTCAGCCGGGGAGTGGACAGCCCCATAAAACCAAGTGGGACTAATGAGGCACAGCAGTCCAGGAACAAGGACTTGAAGGCAGAAGGGGACGGGAAAGCTGGTGATAGGGAACCCAAGATTGAGTAAGGATAGTGTTGATGTGTTGTGAGGTTGTTAATCATTGTCAAAGGGCAGCATGTGTACTAACTGTTTAATGAGAAACTATTTTGTTCTGTAAGCCTTCATCTAAAGTGAGAATAGCAGCACAATTGGAAGAGTGTAGTTGATGTCACTGAACTGGGCATGTAGAAATTTTTTGAAATGGTTTATCTTTGGCTATGTATATTTTCACAAAAAAAAAAAAAAAAGAAAAGGTCAAGAAGGGAAAGGGTTGACATGTCGTGGGGTTGTTAACCAATGTCATAAAACAATATGTGTACTACTGTTCCATGAGAATCTATATGTTCTGTAAACCTTCACCTGAAGTACAATAAAAAAAAATAAAAAATAAAAAAAAGGAAAGAGATGCCCTCAGCAGTGTGGTCCTCTCGTGGACCCTGGTGGCTGGGTCACCCGGGGTCTTGGGTGTTTGTGCAAAATCTCCATTAGAACAACCTTGAGTGGTCAAGAAGTGATAGGAGCCTGGGGTGGACACTCGTGCTGCATTTCAAGCTTCTGAGACTCTCCAGCGAAGTTTTCAAAACTGCAAAGCCCATGTCACTAAAAAGGCCTCGGTTCCAAGGATACTGCAGCCCAGGAGATGTCCCCAAACCAGTCACCCTGAGTCCTCAGAGCCAGCAGTCGCTGCCAAGCTTTGTGGCGTGTGTCGGGACACCCGTGGTCTCCAACTGCTCCACTGAACAGGATTCAGGGTGCCCCCCCTCCAGTGGGCTGGGAGGTTTGGCTTTGGGCTTGTTTTTCTCTTTTCATCTTTTGATCAGAGCAGACATCAACTAACTCAGCATCAGGGGAACGAGGTGGCAAGAAATCACAAACACAGAGGCGTTGCTTTTGAAAATCCTGCGTGTTCAAAGTCTCCCCCCCACTGAGGAGCTCCACGGGATAGGGACAGTAAAGAACAACAACCAGAATGAAGGGCAGCGGGGAAGGACCGCACAGCCTGGGTGGGAAGCCACAGGCGCCTCCCTGGGAAGCACCCGCCACAGACACCCTCTTCTTTCCGGAAACCGTCCCTGCGACGTCTCTGCCATCACTCGACGTTCTTGTACTTGGTGAACAGGTTGTACAGGACCCTCAGGGTGGACTTGAGGTCCAGGTTCACCACATCTGCGGGAGGAAGCAGAGAAACCCATGGGCCCTGGCATCCTCTCTCCTGAGTGCCCAAAAGGCCCGTCCACCCCTGGGGCCAGCGCTTCACCAGTCAGCAGGGGCAGTGGGCTCCCTGCAGAGGCCCTGGCCATCCTCCCCAGTTACTGCTGACTCTCTTGAAACCAGGGGTGGAGGGGAGGCCCTGGTGGTTCAGTGGTAGAATATTAGCCTTCCATGCAGGAGACCCAGGTTCGATTCCCGGCCAACACACCTCATGCACAGCCTCCACCCATCTGTCAGTGGAGGCTTGTGTGCTGTTGTTATGATGCTGAGAAGGTTTCAGCGGAGCTTCCAGGCTAAGACAGACTAGGAAGAAAGGCCTGGTGATCTACTTCTGAAAATCACCAATGAAAACCCTATAGATCACAGTGGTCCAATCCGCAACCAACCGTGGGGATGGCGCAGGGCCCGGTGGGATTTTGTTCTGTTGTGCATGGGGTTGCCATGAGTCAGGGGCCAACTAACAACGCTTGAAACTGACCCCCCTCCCCGGCTCCAGTGCCCACTTCATGTCCAGGACACGCTGGGCAGAGACACACAGCCTGCTGGGCAAGCCCCCAGCACACGTCCAATGTCCCTTAGTCCCCTAGTTCCTTAGTTCTATCAGGACCTGGCTTCTATTGTAAGGTACCTAGAAGGGGCCTCCACAGGGATGTGACCTGCAGAGTGCCTGCTCACCAATGGCCCTGCACATGGGCACCAGGGGACATCCACCCCAACACTCATTACATCTCACTAAGCCGTTAATACATTTTCAAGGCATGAAACAGAGTCTGCAGCCGGAGCCACCAACTGGAGAGGCACTTAAATCCCGAGATCCGAGGGTAGAGGCCCCCCTCTTCAAAGTCAAGCGGTTATTAGCAAACCAGCACCGTCAGCTCTGCCGGCACAGGCCCCTGGCCTCCCAGATGAGGGTTGAAGTCAGCAAAACCTGGCCTTTGATTCTAGCCAAGCACAGCAGGCTGTCAGCTGCTTCTAAGACCTGATTTTTCTCCCCTCTGCCCCCCTGCTGTCCCAGGGGACCCGGGTCAGGAAGGCATTACCTTCAGGGCGAGCCTTGGGTTTCTTGAGTCCTCCGTCCAGCATCAGCTCAAAGGCGAACGCCACGTTGTGGACCTGCCCGGGAAGCGAGAGTTAGTGTCGGTGCCCACGCTCTGCAGCCCACCCCACCACACCCACTGTGCTCCTGGGAGCAGGTGGGACCCAACAGGGGTGGAAAATGGCTTCAGAATCATGGCGTCAACAAGGACCCGGAGCACCAGACGGGGCATGGTGAGCAGGGAGACGTCAATGAGGCTAACACAGTCTCTAGATGGCCCCACTCCTCCACCGGTGACCAGGGACTACAGAGATGCAAAGGGGCAGAGTCTGTCCTCGAGGGCTCGAGGCTCCCAAGTGCCCGCACAGCCCCAGGCCCTGGGCACAGCCACATGGTGAAGAAGTGACAGTGACCCATTTTACAGACGGGAAACTGAGGCTCAGAGAGGACGAGTCACTTCCGAAAGGCGCCAGCCACGGGCACTGTCCCCAGCACAGAGTGGACACCCCGTGTCTGTAAGGGCCTTAAAGCACCAAGCATGGGTGGGACGGCCTTGCTGGGCCATCAGCTCGGCTGGGTCCTCTGCAGGACACGGTGCTCCCGAGGGCAGGGGCAGTCCTGGCCCTGGGCAGGCCGCACGGCCTCGTAGGAAGTCAGCCAGATGGTGGCTGCGAGTTTCAGCCTGCAGGACCCTGGTCCTGGCCTGGGACATGCAAAATGCCAGGGAAAGGTGGACATGTCCCCAGCCCGCACATGGTTTGTGTCGGAAATTAAAGAGCTTAGAACCACTCCGCCAACAAGGATTCTCGAAGCTCCTACTCTGCTAATGGCCGCTGAAGAGGTTGAAAAGAAACACCTGCTTCGCTGCTCTTGAAGTCCGCCTGAATCACAGGAGGCAGGGCGATCACCCCATCACCTCCCCGCCTCCTTGTCTCCGGCCAGCGGCCAGCGCAGACGGGGGCGGGAAAGGGCCACCAAAAAAGGGGGAAAATATACTTCAAAGTTAGAAACTTCAGGGCTCTTGGAAATCAGATATCCTTTAAACACTAGTATTTTGAGGATTTCAGTGTAAATGAGTCAGAAACATGGATAACAATTGTACTTGCAATGTGGTTTCAAAATTAACATTGGAAAACAAGCTGAGAGGCTGTGGGGAAGGCTCCGGGGCCCAGCGGCCGGTGGCACGGGGCAGGGTGCACCCTCGGCCATCAGCTGGGTGCCTATTGAGAGCCGATTCCAGCGTGGCCAGTGGGGGGTGGGCAGGGTATTCGCACCCAGGGCCAGGGCAGGGCTGTGTATGACCAGACAAAGGCCCTGCCCTCGGAAGCTTCTGGGCTGTTCGGAAGGCAGACTTGGAAAGAAGCAGTGAAAGTACCAGGTTCAATGTCAACGTCTCAACCTGTAGTGCAAGGAGCAGCTTGGGGGACCGTGTGGGGTGTGGGGAAGGGGCTGGGGGAGACGATCAGAAATGGGAAGGGGTGTGAGCTAGAAGACGGCCATGCTGTAGGCAACACTAAGTTGGACTGGACTAGGGTGTTGGGCGCCCACTAGGCGAAGGGTGCTTTCGGCACAGCCCTCACTCCCTCTCCCAAGGTGGGGCTTATCTCCATTTTTCAGAGGAGGGTGCCGGGGCTGAGTCGGGTTAAGATGTCTATACCCAGAAAGGCACAGAGTGTGAGGAGTAGGAGCCGGGACTCAAACCCACTTACGTCTGGATTCAAAATCTGTGCCCTCCAAAGGAGGACTATCGTACGGTTCCGTTGACACGAAATGTCACAGGCACAGAAAGCAGCTCAGAGGTCACCAGGGGCGGGAGGGAGGGATGGGGAGGCATTCTTCAACGGGTACTGAGTGACTACTGCGGGTGATAAAAATGTCTGCAGACAGATGGTGGTGAGGATTGCATGACACGGTGAACGCAATGCATGCTGCTGAATCGTACACTCAAAAGGTTAAAATGGCAAACTTTATGGTACACATTTTACCACAATAAAAAAAGAGTTAAAAAAGTCTGTGCCCTTTCTCCAAAAACATCCTGCCCTGGCCCCACCAGTCACCCACACATACACATTCCCACAACAGGCCACCACTAAAATAATATAATTCACACACACACACACTCACGCACACACGCGCACGCACACACGCGCACACACGCGCACGCACGTGCCCTCAACAGGTTTCGAATCAAGATGGAGACACCACAACAGTAAGGAGAGGAGAAAGAGGAGTAAGAAAGTCAGGCTTTGAAGATCCCTCCGCGACAGCAGGCCCAGTCAGCGCCAATTCGGGAAGCGCTCCAAGATCCGCTTCCGGGCCTCCCGAGGTCTGAAGGACCCTCTCCCCAAACACAGCCGGTAATCAGCGGAGGAATGCCCTCGCTTGTCACTCAGAGGAACGAAACCCAGCCACGCTCGCTGGGGAGGGCTGGCTCCAGAAACCGCCCGGGGGTCCCGAGCGTGGTCACCTCCTGAGCCCACTCCTGCCCCAGAAAGAACCGGTTAAGGGGGAAATGTTCCCTCTGAGCCCCATGCCTTCAGTTACTCGGCTCAGCAGTAATTGGTTCTGAAGCAAGATTTTCCCTCTGCTTTCTTCCCAGGCTGAGGAAGCTGCCGGAAAGAAATTGTCACCATCCTCTGCTTGTTATTTCTCAGGACCATGCCGTTGCCCTAAACAACCTTTATGGTCCAGCTGAGACGCTCCCTCTGAGGTAACCAGAATAGGAGGCAGCTTCTATGAGACCTGACAGGAGACTGGGAGACCCCTGAGGCGGGCGGGAACCGGGGCACACTTGGTGCCCCACAGCCCCACATCACTGCTGCAAGCCACCCACACGGGCGGGACTCCCCACTGTCCCTGTTCTCTGCAATTCAAGGAATTTTAGAAAACCTGGCCCAGTGAAGAAAGAATAGAAGGTTCTGGACCAGGAGTCAGTTCTCTGTTTCCTCCTCTGGGAAAACTGAGGGAATCAGAGGAGGCGTCAGAAGGGAAAGCACCTTGTGTTATGGATTGAATCATGTCCCCCCAAAATACGTGTTGAAACCTTAACCTCTGTGCCTGTAACTAGGAGCCTGTTTGGAAATAGGGGTGTTCTTCTGTTATGTCAGTGAGGTCATAACCAAGTAGGGTGGGTCCCGAACCCAATCACTTCTGAGTTATAAAAAGAGTAAGAATGGACACAGAAACATAGAGGGGAAGACAGAGGCCACGTGCGGACTGTCTTCTTGCAAAGCAATGCGAAGGGTTGTCCGCAGGCACCAGAAACCAGGAGAGAGTCCCACAGAAGGAATGGACACGGCCGAGACTCTGATTTGGACTTTTAGCCTCCAGAACTGTGAGACCAAAAAGTCCTCTTCTTTAAAGCCACTCACTTGTGGTATTTCTGTCACAGCAGCACTAGGTAAATAAGATACCTTGAAACTGCAAAGCCCCTTCTGGCATTTTCTTGTAGGAATAACCTTCAAGTCCCCCCACCACACAGAGAAGGACTCTGTAGAAAGATTATCAATGTTCCCGAGGTACTGAGGGCAAAGCCCACTCAGCACAGAATAAAATCCGAACGGTGCACCTGGGACAGTGCATTTGCGCAGTGACCTCGGGGGCCTGAACTGCCCAATCTCACTTTTTAAAAACACAATGCTATTGTTTAAAAAAATAAGCCATTGCTACTGTCTTAGTCATCTGGTGCTGCTATAACAGAAATACCGCAAGTGGATGGCTTTAACAAAGAGAAGTTTATTCTCTCTCAGTCCAGTAGGCTACAAGTCCAAATTCAGGGCGTCAGCTCCAGGGGAACGCTTTCTCCGTAGGCTCTGGAGGAAGGTCTGTGTCATCAATCTTCCCTTGGTCTGGGAGCTTCTCTGCGCAGGAACCTCAGGTCCAAAGGACGCGCTCTGCTCCCAGCACTGCTTTCTTGGTGGCATGAGGTTCCCATGTGTCTCTGCTCGCTTCTCTCTTTTATATTTCAAAAGAGATTGGCTTAAGACACTATCCAGTCTTGTATACCTCATCAATATAACTGCCGCTAATCCATCTTATTAGATCATAGTGATTGAATTTACAACACATAAGGAAATCACATCAGATTACAAAATGGTACACAATCATACAATACTGGGAATCATGCCCCAGCCAAGCTGACAGATATTTTTGGGGGACACAATTCAGTTCATGACAGCTATCCTCGAGGATTGGTGGTTCAGTGGTAGAATGCTCATCTTCCATACAGGACACCTGGGTTTGATTCCAAAACAGTACACCTCATGCACAGCCACAACCCATCTTGTCCATGGAGATCTGCATGGGGCTATGATCATGAACGAAGTCCTGGTGGCTCGGTGGTTAAGAGCTTGGCTGCTAACCAAAAGGTCAGCAGCTGGAATCCACCAGCTGCTCCTTGGAAACCCTATGGAGCAGTTCTACTCTGTCCTATAGGGTCGCTATGAGTCGGAATCCAGTCGATGGCAACGGGCTTAGTTTTTGGTTTATAAACAGGTTTCAGCAGAGTTTACAGACTAAGACAGACTAGGAAGAAAGGCCTGGTAATCTACTTCTGAAAATCAGCCAGTGAAAACCCTATGGATCCTGTCTGATCTGCAACTGATCATGGGGATGGTGCAGGATCTGGCAGCATTTCGTTCCATTGTGCATGGGGCTGCCGTGAGCCTTGCTGCTCTCGGGGCTGCCGTGGGCTCTGCCACGCGTGGGGCTACCGTGAGCGCTGCTGCTCTCGGGGCTGCCGTGGGCTCTGCCACGTGTGGGGCTACCGTGAGCTCTGCTGCTCTTGGGGCTGCTCTGGGCACCACTGCTCTCGGGGCTGCCATGGGCTCTGCCACGCATGGGGCTGCTGTGACCTCTGCTGCTTTCCGCTGCCGTGAGCTCTGCTGCTCCCGGGGCTGCTGTGGGCACCGCTGCTCTCGGGGCTGCCGTGGGCTCTGCCACGCATGGGGCTGCTGTGACTTCTGCTGCTCTCAGGGCTGCCGTGAGCTCTGCTGCTCCCGGGGCTGCTGTGGGCACCGCTGCTCTCGGGGCTGCCGTGGGCTCTGCCACACATGGGGCTGCCGTGGGCTCCGTTGCT